ACAAAAAAAAGAAAAAAAGAAAAAAAGAGAGAAAAAGAGAGAAGGGGCAATGCTACTATCCTTTTACCACACTTGTGCTTCAAAGTAGCCACCCCTTGGACCCTTGCTCGTTACCTCTCCCAATTTCTCCCACGATTCACCAGTACGCGCTTGGCGAAGCCCTGCCGGAATTCCGCTGCCTCCACCAGCACCATACCATTGTGTTAGACCCGATCTTATATACCCCCCTCTTTGTCTCTTGCTCGATCAAGAAGGAGAGGACGCCGCTGAGCCGCACGTGTGCTAAACTCGGAGGTGTCGTCCGTTCGGCACTAGATCGGGAGTTCGTGGACGGATCGTGATTGGATCACGAAGACGTTCCACTATGTCCATCGCGTTTCTTAACGCTTCCGCCTAGCGATCTACATGGTTATGTAGGTCCATCCCTCCTCTCATCGATGTACGTCTCCTAGATTGCTCTTGTTGAGCATAGGAAATTTTTTGTTTCCCATGCAACGTTCCCCAACATTTTCTTCTATCGGTTTACAGTCCTTGTGATGATTACATGCTGATGTTTCATATATTTTAATGTTTGCAACAAGGGGTTGTGAGGAGTTTATGAGTAGAAATAACCATAGAGACCCTCAACTAATTTGATTGAAACAGAAATCAACCATGTTGTTCCTTTCATTTATTATTTTGAACAAAACAAATGCAGGCTGCTATTTGCCAAGATGTGACTATGCGAGAGATCTCTACACTTCAGTTGAAATGGTACACATGGTACTTATCTCTTCCAGTTAGATCTCTTTGGGCGTGTGTTTTTCTCTGACATTCATTCCCCTAGAGGTCCTTTCTACTCTCATGAATCTTTGGTGGTTATAGTACTCCCTCCGTCCCTAAATATAAGTCTTTTTAGAGATTTCAATATGGACTATATACGGATGAATATAGACGTATTTTAGAGTGTAGAGATTCACTCATTTTGCTCCGTATGTAGTTCATACCAGAATCTCTAAAAAATCTTATATTTAGGAACGGATGGAGTACCATGTAGTATAATGCTATTCCTTTGGATGTAAAGCAGTAGAAAACTTGAAAGATGTGATATTTGTTTGGTTATGGTTATGCACAAATCACATAAGTATTATGGGGTCGGCCTCTTTCTCTCCATCAGAACTCTACTTCACCTGTTACGCATATTATGTTTTCTGACTAGGTGATAGACAATTATTCCTTTTGTGTGCTTCAACAAGTTGTCAGGCAGTGCTCTCCAATTACTCAATTAAACTTCAAACTCATTATATTAATTCTTGCTATAATTTTTGCAATTATGCGTCAGTTACGCTGATAAGGAGGAAAACACAGGCAAGAAAACGGCCGCTGCAAGGCGGTGGTTGTGGGTGCAGGATACACTTTGCTCCTGCCATTGTGTGACTAGAAGCTGACACGTCGCTTTGCAGCATGAACAACGTCCCTCTGCAGTAGAGCTTCCCCAAATCAGAGGATCTTGGTCCTTGGTGTGTGAGGGCTTCTACGCCTCGGTGCTCCACAGGGCAGCAATTTGGTTGGGTGCTTATACTTTAAATTTGTAATCAGCACCTCCCATTACAATGATATAAGTTGCTCATATGCAAGCAAGTCTACTGTGAGATGCATATTAATTTGTTTTTGCAGGTTGATATAAAAAATATACCCTTCATCTGTGGATGTGCCGTCTCTGACATCGGGAAGATTTGTCTCACAAAGTTTATATGATTGGAAATGATAAATCTCTACCTTTTGGAATGATCCTTCTTGTGTCTGAAAGTATGTGCACTGTGCAATACATCTTCTGGTTTTTGCTTGAAGATGTAAGTTTATTTTATGGTCTTGTGACACTTATTAATTTTTTATATTATGCTCATATACTAAAGGTTACTTTGGATAACTTCCTACTTATACTGAGAATGATGATCTGCTTGACACTAGAATTTATTAGGAGGTCGCCAATGCAATTTAGTTTCACTCATCTCACTGAAGCTCAGTTTGTTTAGGTAGCAAACTTGTTTGCATGTTTTGGTTTCTTTACTTACTATCTTATGCAAGATCATCTTTACTAGAAGGGATGTGCGCGCTTTGCTGTGCCGTTCGTGTTGTTGGGTTTCTTAACAAAAAATAACCACTCTGTTTCAAAAAATAAGTTCTATTACTTCTTTAAAAAGTCAAACCATTTAAGTTTGATCAACTTTGTAGACAAATATATCAAAATCCATAATATCAAATCGGTATTTTTTTTGATTCATCACGAAATGAATGTCCATACGATTTTTGTTTAATATTGTGGATGTCGATATTTTTGCTCTGAACTCGGTCAAAGTTAAAGAAATTTGATTTTCTAAAAAATTAATATCCCTTATATTTTATAACTGATGGAATATTTAGTTTGGCGGGTTGGGGAGATAATAGAGTGTGTTTTATTTTTATTTATAATAAGGTGATTTGGTGGGCCTTTCGTGGTATGATTCTGTGTTATCCGCTAACCACCCTATATTTATGTGGGGAAATTTCTATGTTGATGGTGGCATGCACTATATTGATGCTATAGTACCATATGGTGACAACTTTTTCTCTAGGTGATGGGAGGGTGTGCGGGATTGATATGTTTTTATAAGTCGGTTGCTGCTGATTGATTTAAAAAATCATTGGCCTAGTCAAAATCATAAACCAAATCAAAATTGAACACCTCGATTGAATGAAAGAGCTTCCAATTTTGAGACCATAGTGAATAAATACATTTGAATGGAAAAGCTAGATAAAGTGTTGACCCGGTCAAAATCAGATGATCCAATTCGAAATTGAATAACACAATTAGTTACGGGGTCTTGAAAATTAGGAAGCACATGCAGACTAAGGCATAGCCTAGTGGTGGGAAGGGGCTGATGCCTTCCCACCCACCTAGGTTTAAGGCATGATACTTGCAATTTGGGTTTGTTGCACCAATTATACTGTAGGGGGTTCCCTTACAGTCTTTTTGTGAGAAAACAATTAGGAAGCACAGTGTATAGTTTAAAAAAATTGAATGACGGAGCTTTGAGAAATTGTTGGCTCGGTCAAAATCGGGTGACCCAATTCTAATTGGTGCCTCAATTGAATATGGACTCTTTAAAATTAGGGAGTTTAATGTTATAGATGATTCTAATCGATGCTTCAGGAGGTCCGTTCTGTGGTTCAGTCTACTAGATCCTGCATTGCAGTTTTTTCTTCCCATTTTGCCAACAACTTAAAAGCCTAGCTAATATATTTTTGCAGATTCTCCCATGAACCAATATGCAAGAAATGGAAATAAGTTGTTCAAAATGAATGTTAGCCTGTGCTCTATTTGCATCAGAAGTTTTTATTAAAGAATTCCTTTAATGATTTTATTAAAGAATTCCTTTTTGTGAAAAAAAATTAGGAAGCAGAGTGTATAGTTTAAAAAAATTGAATGACGGAGCTTTGAGAAATTGTTGGCTCGGTCAAAATCGGGTGACCCAATTCTAATTGGTGCCTCAATTGAATATGGACTCTTTAAAATTATGGAGTTTAATGTTATAGATGATTTTAATCGATGCTTCAGGAGGTCCGTTCTGTGGTTCAGTCTACTAGATCCTGCATTGCAGTTTTTTCTTCCCATTTTGCCAACAACTTAAAAGCCTAGCTAATATATTTTTGCAGATTCTCCCATGAACCAATATGCAAGAAATGGAAAGAAGTTGTTCAAAATGAATGTTAGCCTGTGCTCTATTTGCATCAGAAGTTTTTATTAAAGAATTCCTTTAATGATTTTATTAAAGAATTCCTTTTTGTGAAAAAAAATTAGGAAGCACAGTGTATAGTTTAAAAAAATTGAATGACCGAGCTTTGAGAAATTGTTGGCTCGGTCAAAATCGGGTGACCCAATTCTAATTGGTGCCTCAATTGAATATGGACTCTTTAAAATTAGGGAGTTTAATGTTATAGATGATTCTAATCGATGCTTCAGGAGGTCCGTTCTGTGGTTCAGTCTACTAGATCCTGCATTGCAGTTTTTTCTTCCCATTTTGCCAACAACTTAAAAGCCTAGCTAATATATTTTTGCAGATTCTCCCATGAACCAATATGCAAGAAATGGAAAGAAGTTGTTCAAAATGAATGTTAGCCTGTGCTCTATTTGCATCAGAAGTTTTTATTAAAGAATTCCTTTGATGATTTACAAAAAGGAACATGGCATAGCAATGGAAAACGGCACGGCAAAGCACACGCTTTCTTCTACTTTGTTTGATACCACCAAATTGCTTTCTCTATGTCCTTGTCCACGTTTCAACTTTGCCAGTCTTCCCTACAAGAGCGTCGACATCAGCTACAGTACATCAAGTATGGCAATGCCGCATAGGAATATTCCACGAAGGGAGCCACTCGGACAACAAACATCAAACTATTTATGTAAGTTATTAATGATTGACTCATTTGAAATGATGTATCAGTCAGTGTTCACACTTTGACATATGTTGATTTATAATGTAAACATTGACACCCAGGTTTCAAGCAATGCCGTGAATCAATCATCCGAAGAAATATATTCAACCAAAAACTTGGCTAGTAAAACGATTGTACTTGGTGAAACACACCACAAGCAAGCGCACAAGATAGACATGAAGACATAGACGATGTACTTTACAGCAGAAGTGCAGAAGAGGAGGCTTTTTTGGAGCAGAAAACATGTCCATTGCACAAGCAAATTAGCAATAGCGCAGCAGCACCACATTGCAATAGTAGTACAACAGGGTTGTAAATTATAAACATAACATAGCAGAGTCAGATAGAACAACACGGATGGATAGAAAGCACTATCATAACGCAGGTCATAAGCTAGTACCAATGCTACTAGTAATAGAAAGACTGATACAACCTTAATGTAAGACGATAGATACAGATGGGTCAAGTGAGCGCTATTCGCAGTTGTGCCACAAGATTGATCCTTTGTGCCGTCTAGTCTTCGTCAAGTAGACTATCTTTGAGAATCACTCGATCACAAGAGCTTCAACAAGAGCATCATCTTGGTCAGGAACGTATGGACGATAGCTATCAGAATCCCTCAGCCTGTCCTCCGGGATAGCAATCTGTATTCCAGTCCAATCAATCTTCTTCCATTGTTCGGCAGCGTATTCGTTCCCCCTTTCCCTGTTGGCGATGAGTTCTTCATCGACCTCGTAGTAGCCCTTGTCCCGCACAGACGCGATGACCTCCTGCCGGTACTCTTCGAAATCGTCGTCCATCTTCTTGAAAAGCTCTACACTGTCAGCATGGGCACGCTTCCTTTCCTCAATCCACTCCAGAGGAAAATACTCTGCCAGATCGTCCAGGTAATCGGCGCTGGGGTGTTGCTCCGGCTTCAGCGCAATTATGGTCCTAATCTCGGCTTTCGACAGCCGAACCTTGCCCTTGTTTGGACCTGGTGGTGCTGCGGCCGGCTGATTGGCGACAACAGATGACAGATTCGCCTCCCCAAGCATCTTGTCCATCGCAGTCACCCCCTTGTCTGACTCGAAAGACTCGTCACCCTCCTTGTAGATGGATCCGGCGGCGGAGGGGAACACCGCCGCAGGACCATCGACGCTGGCCTCCGTCGAATTGGCAGCGCTGCCCGGACTCACCATCAACTTCCCCGCCTCCTCCTTGCCGGCCATGGCCTCTTCTTGATTGATGGTTCCTCTGCTGTCGACGTAGATCTTGGGTTTCGAGGTTGGTTGCTTGCGCTTGTTTTGGGGATTGGATTGGAGGCGGCGGTGCCGTCTCAATCTATATAAGCAAGGAGACGAAGAGAAACCCTAGCCGAGCGAGCCCGTCTCTGCTCTGCACCCAGTCGGTATCGGACCCCGTTTACCACCCGGACTCGGCCGGAACTCGACCACCAGCCCCGCTCAGTCCACTGATGACACCCTGGGCCGGCCCCGGCCACTCCGTCTTTGTCTCCTCTTCCCCTCATTTCCCTTTTTTTCTTTTTCTTTCCTTCCCAGAAAACAAATGCTTCCTCCATTTATAGAAAATATTATAAGGTGTATTAATATTTTTGGAAATCAAAGATTTCTCTGGTTGATCAAGTTCATACTGAAAATTATATTATAATAACAAATAAACAAATTATAAAAATATGTTTCGTGATGCTTCTAATGATACATGTTTGGTATCATATCCATTGATGTTTCCTCTACTTATATAAGTACTACTCCCTCCGTCCCATAATGTAAGACGTTTTTTGACACGTAGTGTCAAAAAACGTCTTACATTATGGGACGGAGGGATTACTAGTAAACATGCCCCGTGCGTTGCAACATGCATACATGTTCTAGTAGTAAGCTAGGCCATGGTTTATCAGTATAGTATATTCATATGAATTGTGTAATCAAATGTTTACCAAATAAAATCATGCCCGCGACTTGCCTGCCTAAATATGTACACAATCATGGGCGCTAGGATTTTATATGGTAACACACATTTACCAATTATTAAAAAATCTAGTTAATAACGAATTATTTGGTAAGTTAATAAAAGTGGGGTAGTTAAGGTGGTTTTCAAGGAAAACGGTGGAAAACCTAGAATAGGAGGGAAAACCAAAAACAGCATCATGCTGCCTTTGTATCAAGTTATCCGAATGTATGGATAAACCTATATCTCCATTTTTATTTCGAGGTTTCTCTGAAAAGGTGAATAACTACCTCTTTCTTCCTTTCTTGTCATGTATTCCCTCCCTAAACTAATATAAGAGCATTTAGATCACTATTTTAGTTATATAAACGCTCTTATATTAGTTTACAGAGGGAGTACATGGCTGCGTTATATCATTTCAAAATTATTTTATAGATGAGTAACTAAATGTTCTCAATAAATGGTACTACAAAGAATAAAGAGACTAAACAAATGAAAACTGGGGAATGGTAGTGGGAACATGACCAAACAAATAAAGAAAGATGTAGATGACATGTCTTCAATGAACAAAAATAGAAAAAAAATTATAGAAGGACTAAACAAAGAAAGAGAGAACAACCCATGACTAAATAAAGTGAAAATAGAAAAAATGAGTTCTCAAAAAGACCAACCAAAGAGTGACCGTGGACTAAGAATATATTTTCTTTAATGACTAACACCGTAAAAGGTGACACTGGAAAAAAATACTACGAGAACAGAGACATTGATTACTCAGAATATCACCAAAGAAAAAGAAATAAAGATAAATGAATACTAAAAGTGTACTCTTTTCTTCAATTAATCTATAGACTTATTGATTTTAATTGCCAGACAAGGAAACACTACTAGGAAAAGGCTAATTAGTGGCGCACCTGTTTTGGTCATTAATGGCGCACTGCAGGTGCGCCACTATCATCACGCCACTAGTAACTAGTACTAATGGCATACCCCTGGTGCGCCATTAGTATACCAGACAACAGTGGCGCACCTGGAAGTGCGCCATTAGTATGTCAAACGGTGCGCCATTACTATGCCTCCGAGGGGGCCATATTTACCTTGTGCTCTGGATTACTAATGGCGCACTTCTAGTTAATGCGCCACTTGTGTGTTTATTGCAGTGCGCCACTAAAGTACAGTATGATGCGCCACTAGTATGAATATTAGGAAAGATTTTTTTTACTTTTCTGATATTTGCACAGGTTACAAAATATATTACTGCACAGAATATAGACAGCACAACATATAAACAACAGATTTATCGAATACAATAGAAGATTAGTCTCCGAATACAATTCATCATATTAGTTTTCGAATTCAAAATACCAAACAAAGTTAGAACATTACAAGTCTCGAGACCGCGAGTAGCGAGTTTGTCTTCACATTACAAGTCGATATCGATCATCTAAACTACCATCACATAGAAGAGAGCTGCGGTCATCACGATGAGCATCATCGAGATGAAACTGGTCTTCATCCGGTTCCTCCAACGCTCCCTCCTCTCTCCCGCTAGATAGCGCGCGTATCTAGCTTCCGCCTCCGCTCTAGTGGTGTACCCTTTGTAACTATTATCGCTGAAACGGTGAACCTGTCTCCGACACTTCTCCCAGTCGTCGTATACTCCGGAACCTTACCCTTGTAAACGACATACGATGGCATCTCTATGCACTAGACAAACAAAACGTTAGTAGCAATTCACAGACAATACATAAGCAATATATAAGTATGCAACAAAATGATCAGAAGAGAAAAGCAACACATTAGTAGCATGATTCATGGTCCTACTAATAAATAGCATCGGTTACATATAAGTTGAACGACTGTCCAAACTAAAGAGACATACAAGTTCATTAAAGTTTAATTACAACATGAGCTAATCGATATTTCAGAACTACATAGCATCACTACTTTCGACTTGACTTAGGGACTGGAGCATGGATGAAGCCGCCATCTATCATGATGGCCATGAAATCACAGTCGTTGTCAGCCTGCATTTGTAGCGTTGTTTCTATCTCACTGTTGGATGGTTGATATCTGAGGTAGAACTGCCCCGAGGTACGAAGGACATCTTGATGGATGATTTCCGCAAACTCTGATTGGATGCAAAAGAATTCATGTCTGATGCCGCGTCCTGGATTGCCGACAAGCTTGCAGCCCAATCTTTGAGATTATTTGGTAGTAGAAGGTGATTATGGTCCCGTACGATCGCCCGCATGTGATGGAGGGCGTAGTAGGAATCCTTCTGACCGCCAAGCGGCTGCTTGACGCAGGGGAACATCGTATTGTGGGTGAACACGTGCTTGCCGTACCTACGAATTGGCCTGCTGAAGGTGCCTCCAGATCTGGCATATTTGTGTAGTCTTTCTTCGACGGATGGTCCGAGTCGAAATTGTTGGGGAACGTTGCAGAAAATTCAAATTTTTCCTATGGTTTCACCAAGATCCATCTATGAGTTCATCTAAGCAACGAGTCATGGGAGAGAGATTGCATCTACATACCACTTGTAGATCGTGTGCGGAAGCGTTCAAGGGAATGGGGATGATGGAGTCGTACTCGCCGTGATCCAAATCACCGATGACCAAGTGCTGAACGGACAGCACCTCCGCATTCAACACACGTACGGAGCGGACGATGTCTCCTCCTTCTTGATCCAGCAAGGGGGAAGGATAGGTTGAGGAAGAAGGCTCCAGCAGCAGCATGACGGCGTGATGATGGTGGAGAGGCAGTACTCCGACAGGGCTTCACCAAGCACTTAACGGAGGAGGAGAGATGTTGGGGAGGGGAGGGGCTGCGCCTTGGATCAGGTGTTCAGCCCTCCCCTCGCCCCTCTATTTATAGGGGAAGGGGGAAGGGGGCCGGCCCCCTCTAGATGAGATCTAGAGGGGGGGCGGCGTCAGGGAAGGGGGCTTTCCCCCCAAGCAAGGGGGCGCCCCCACTAGGGTTCCCCCCCCCAACCCTAGGCGCATGGGCCCAAGGGGGGCGCCCAGCCCTCCAGGGGCTGGTTCCCTGCCCCTTGCGGCCCATGAGGCCCTCCGAGAGGGATGGCCCCTCCTGGTGGACCCCCGGAACCCCTCCGGTGGCCCCGGTACAATACCGATATGCCCCCGAAACTTTCTGGTGTCCGTATGACAACTTCCAATATATAAATCTTCACCTCCGGACCATTTCGGAACTCCTCGTGACGTCCGGGATCTCATCCGGGACTCCGAACAACATTTGGTAATCACATATAAGTGTGTAGACCCTACGGGTTCGGGAGACATGCAGACATGACCGAGATGGCTCTCCGGTCAATAACCAACTGCGGGATCTGGGTACCCATGTTGGCTCCCACATGCTCCTCGATGATCTCATCGGATGAACCACGATGTCGAGGATTCAATCAACCCCGTATACAATTCCCTTTGTCAATCGGTATGTTACATGCCCGAGACTCGATCGTCAGTATCCCAATACCTCGTTCAGTCTCGTTACCAGCAAGTCACTTTACTCGTACCGTAATGCATGATCCCGTGACCAAACACTTGGTCACTTTGAGCTCATTATGATGATGCACGGAGTGGGCCCAGAGATACCTCTCCGTCATACGGAGTGACAAATCCCAGTCTTGATCCGTGTCAACCCAACAGATACTTTCGGAGATACCTGTAGTGCACCTTTATAGTCACCCAGTTACGTTGTGACGTTTGGTACACCCAAAGCACTCCTACGGTATCCGGGAGTTACACGATCTCATGGTCTAAGG